TATATATATATATATATATATATAGATTTGACGTACTTTTGGCTAGGGATAATATGCGACCCACGACCAGAGTGTTAGATGCGTCCTGATGTATGTGATATAAAAGCCTCTACTTTTAAATCACATTTGCCAGGAAAGACCAATTCTCTGGCCTAGGGTCATTACATGATATTTAAAATATAGATGAAAGGAGAAACAGGAATAAAGTTGCAGTACACGCATTGTCGACTAGCCAATTTAAAAGATAATTGTTGTGAAGTAACTGTACCAGATAAATGCGATCCGTCTTTATTAAAAGAACCAATTGTCGACGAACTAATTAGAATTATTGCCCAATTTGATGAAGCAGTCATCGCTTCTTACCAAACGCTAGAAGCATGTTATCTTGTAAAATATCTGTTTAACTTAAGGTAAGAAAATTAAATTAAAGTATTATGTTTATAACGAAAATTTTCAGTACTCATGTATCAAAAGGTATACTAAAATCAACGAAATTATTAAATTTATTTTTCGATTAATATTCGACATTATTTTATCAAGCTACTTTAGGATATTTTTGCAAAAGTAGTTGGTTACTGATAAAAAACGCTTTTCCAAGTGGTGTTTTCGAAACGGAAAATTTAGCATCTACAGTCTAGTGCTTAAAAAGATTTTCAATTTGTTATTTTCAACTTATACAAATAGACAAAAACTAAATAAAATTTAATTAAAAATTTGGTAATGTACGCTATATCTAAAATTTACATTACCTTGTAAGAACAAAAAAAAAAATCCCGGCGTGTCGAAGAAGAAATATTGTTTGTGAAATTTTTCGTCAACGATATTTCCCGAACAAATTAACCGATTTTGATGGGGCTTGCGATAATTCACGTTATTTTGTGAAGTTGAGATTATTAGATTATAGAAACAATTAGTATACTAGTTTGAAAGTTACTGCACGAAAAAATTTTATGAAAAAATTATTTTTTTAAATTCCTCAAAATCTATGGAATTGAATTCGTTCAAATTTTCGGTAAATTCAAATTTAGTGGAACCCTTTAGAATGCCGGAATCCCCATTCCGATTGGTCAAGCCGTTCAAAAGTTATCAAAGGCTTACACATACATTCAAACTAGACTGTTAAAAAAATCGACTCTTTCTTTTACTACAATATATTGAAAATATAGTTGGAAATTATGAAAAAAAAAATACTGCGATGGTTATAGCTCTTAATATTAGTATTAAGATGTGCTATATCGCAAATTTCAATTTACCATTTGATTAAGATGGAAAAATATTTTTTGAAACTTTGAAATTGAAGAACTCATCAATGAGCTATCATCTTAGGAGTTTGTAGCATTTTTAGTAGAAAATTAAATGCTCTACATAAAAGGTCTCTTATGATTTTTAAAAAATCCACTACTTTAAAAATTATCCGAGGTCAAAGTTGAGCTTTTCTCAGAAATTTCAAGGTTATTTCAGTTTTTCGTAAACTCCTCAGACTAAGTGAAATTTCGCTCAAAATTATCTTTTCTGAAGTCTTTTTGAAATTCTTAGAGTACCTTATTAATATGATCACAGTGGCCTTGCCAAAAAATCTTGTTTCAGACATTTATTATTAATGCACAAATTTCTTAGAGCGATTGAGGTCTTTACGCCTAGAAATGTAATTATTCAAACTGTTTTGAGGTAGCCAAGCTTACTGTTATAAATATCATAGATATTTTTTAGGTGTTTCACAATATTCACGAATAAAAGTAATAAAAAGTGTTACGTAATTGCAAAAATTGTCGAAAAATATAAAAAAATTTTATGCTTGTACAAAAAAAGTAGCCCTGAATAAAAAAAAAGTATTGAGACAAAGGAAAAAGTATTGGATTGACTAGAAAACCAATACTTTTCAATAAAAAAAGTATTGAGACAAAGGAAAAAGTATTGGATTGACTAGAAAACCAATACTTTTCAATACTTTTTTCTTTGTCTCAATACTTTTTTTTTATCAGAAAGTAATCGATTTTTTGAAACAGTGAAATACAAATATCCATCATCGTTAAAATAGTCATAATAGAATAGCATCCTAGGAACTCAAAAGGTGTAGATCCGATAAAAACTCGATTTTTGAAGATCGGGGTAAACCAATAATTTCCCAATATTTTTAAATTATTGATTATTCTAACAGGGAGTTAAACAAATAATCAACAACTTGATATTAAATTATTTCAATTTCTTGAAACTGGTCAACTCGTAAATGTTTACTCGATATGTATTTCGAAAATAGAGGCCGGAACAATCTCTGATAGGGTATAAAAACAAGTCACGTCTCACTGTCTCCTAGTGATCTGATCACCAAGACAAATTACTCTGTACCTTTAGGCGGATTTGATTGAGCTTTGAGCCACTGATGGGTAACGCCCAAAATGGTATTTTTTCGTAGTGGATATTATAAGATATCCAGATTCAATAGATTACTGAATTGAAAAGCTAATGTCGATCTCCACATTTTCAGCTTCCCTTCTTAATTCGTAGAAAAAGATATTATTTTTAACTTTCCTATTGTATTGATACTTCTATCGTTCTAATACTAATCTGTCGCTTTATAATTCCGAGTTAATAATTTAATTTATAAATAACTTACAGCCCGCCCCGGCTTCGCACGGGTATTTAACCCTTTAATGTTCAGCCTTGAACCCCCACTTTTAATTCGAGTCATATGTCTTTTTCTTTAAGTGAGAGAGCTATAGTCTTTTTCCTAGAGAGAGGGCCAGAAAAGTAGTAGAGAGGGACGCATGGACACACTACTACAACTAAACCGTCTCTCACACAACCGCATAACGGACTATGATTGACTCTCTCCCCTAACAGCTCACACTGAGATTCATAGCGCATCCAGAACATTAAAAGGTTAACAAAAATTTGAAAATATAATATAGCCTATGACCCGGGGATAGTGTAGCTTCCCAACAGTGAAAGAATTTTTCAAATCGGTTCAGTAGTTTCGGAGCCTATTCAATGCAAACAAACAAACAATCAAATCTTTCCTCTTTATAAAATTAGTATAAAAGTATAGATAACAGTTAATATTATCTATATATGTTCTTTTTTTAGCCATGCAGTAAACAGAACATTGGAACAATTAAGAGTAAAAGATCAACCAAAAGATATTGCTTCACAACGGCTTCTACTTTATGAAGTTTCAAAAAATATTCTCAACACAGGAATGAAACTATTAGGATTAAGGCCATTAAATAAAATGTAAGAATACTAATTTTTCTACTCATAATTTTTTTTCTCTATGTAGCTGTTTATTACGATAAAATAGTTATGTATACATATATTGATAGTACAAAACTTTAAAAATAAAAGCTTATACTATTGATATTGACTGTCTAATTCGTAGTAGACTATTCATTAGTAACAACGAATGCTGAATAGTAGAGATCTCTACTATTTATATTTAAATAAATCGGATTTTACACATTTATGTATGTTATAAAAATTTTGTTGAATTTAATATACAGCAGTTAAGTTTTTACCACAAAGGACGACAATAATGCTCAAAATTTTTTGAAAAACAATCATACACAATCTACAAGTCGTTTATACCGTTAGAGAAATCGGTCAACTTAATAGTTAAATAGGTTTAGAATATAAATCAAGTCCCTCGCGGTTCCCTGATTCAGAAAGATGATTTGAAATAATTACCTTCGTGTTAATTGAATCTATATAGTATTCAAATCCGATGCATTTAAATCATTTCAAATCATTTTAAATCATTTCAAATTAGATTTCTTAATCAGGGTTTTGAGAATGCCGTAAAAATACCGTAATTTTTCGGCATTTATGCTCATGCCGTATATTTACCGTTATAATTCGGTAATAATGCGGTTAAACTATAGTTGTTTTGGCCAGTTTTTATACTGTAGTTATCCAGTATATATACTGCACTTATGATGTACATGTACTGCAGTTACATGCGTAATTTTAAAAATTTCTAAAAAAGTAATTCCTTCGAGCAATTTTTTAAAAATAATATTCAGTTAATCACTTAAAAAAATTATTTTATTTCTTCTAAATTCATATTTTTTGAAAACTCATAGATAATTTAATTTTTAAATTCGAAGACCTCAAGAACTTACGAGTAAGTATATTTTTGAATGCAGTGAGTTTGAAAATAGAAGACAGTTTTTAGTTATAGAAGATAATTATCGTAAATTGCAAAGGATCTATTTTTTTTTCTTTTGTTGATATATACTTAAAGTGCTTAACAAAAAGACAAACTCAACTACGTATAAAATTATTCATACGGGTTACAGATAAATAACCGAATTGGAATATTCTATTTTTTACCGTAATAAGCATACTTTTTTATCACTCTAGACTATCTAACCACTATTTGCGGGAATATTGACGCATGCGCAAATACATCTCAATTGTTTTTCAATTAAATATAATTAAAACTTCCTTCTCTGTATAATAAAAAAAAATTTACACTTTAGTAGTATGAAAAAAAAAAAAAAACCAATTCTCATTATTTACTATTTAATCTTTTTTCGAATAATAATAAAAATTTTGAGTTTTCTGCTGATAAAATGAAAAGTTTGCTTGTCATATAGAGAAATGGGAAGTTTAATAACATCGAACATCCTCATACAAAAACGTTTTTTTTTTTCTATGTAGATAGTGTAAACTTAGATTGTAGAGTGCAACTTAAAAACTTTCTTTCATACTATTGAAAGATGAATCACTCATCAAATACAACATTTAAATAGACATTCGAGAGAAATAGAATATTATTGAAGTTAATTTTTTGTCAGATAAAATTATGAACAAAAATTGATAAAAAAAAAATATGCCGAAAAAACCAGATGATCATAATTTACCCAAAATTCAATTAACATTCATATAATTAAATCGTTCCAAAAATATAAGAATATTTAATACCATAGTATATCGATGATACTAAAAATATTTTGTAAACTCAATAATTAGTGACGATTTTGTTTCTCAACACGAAATTTAAATCTCGAGTTAGTTATTTTTCAATAATGGTCCAAACAAAGTATATTTATAAAACAATATATATTTATAAAACAATGGACATACCAGCTGGATAAGCCTGCTTTGACTGAATAATATTCATAAAAATATTCGTGACATTATATAGCTGTCCCATGCCTTTTGGATTAAATTTTGTTGTTGCATTGTAAGGCAGACCCGTCGTATTTACTGAAGTAAAATTGACAGCTTGTGAAGCCATAATATTTTGAAGTTGTTGATCCAGATCTTTACTTATAGCACGCATTTTTGTAGTTAAATCATTTGCTTTCAATTCATAATCATCTTCTGGTAATCCTGCAAATATTGTCACCACTAATATATGGAAAACTAGCCATTGAAAACAAGTGAGCGCGACCATTTTATTAAAAAAAAAACAGCCCGCGCCACTTTGGACGCTCGACAATTAAAACATAAACTGACTACACTAGTATGTATGTATGAAGACACTACAGAGATTCTATAATAACAACAGAACAACAGAATTAGATGATAGTTGAGAAGTTAGTTATAAGTTAAAATGAATCGAATATCGAAATATCGAATAATGGAAACTTATGCCTTATTGGTTGGTTAAATAAAATTCGAACAGTTTCGGTTTCCAAAGGTCAAAAGAACTTGAAGCGCGCGCAGCTCAGATAGTTGTTATAGTTGTTATGTCACGAGGGTTACATTTGTAATGCCTCTAGATGCATCCAGCAGGTGACGCTACCAGCCAGTGAAGTGCAAATTTAAATGTAATTTAGATTATATTAAATTATTTTATTAATTCATAATTTAAATAGTGAAAACTGTCCAAATTAGAAAGTTTAGGTACTGTATCGTAGAATATTTATTATATAGAGTATATTTTGTTTCAAATAAATATAAGCTATTATCGAGTACAAAGGGACATTGTAGTTGAGTTCTGAGAAACCTTAGGTACTTGAGATGATATTGCAAGAATAAGATTTTATAAAATAATATTATTAAATGATATTTATCTCTTACATTAACAATTAAACTATTTCATAGTTTTAATAGATTATAGATTGATAGAAATAGTAATAAGCTTAATCTAATTTGCAAAATACGAATATTAATGCATTGCAATATATATATAATTTATAAATAAATATATGTGAATATAATAGAAAATATTAGATATTAGTGTGTGAAAATCATTTATATGTAGTAGAAATATATGTATAAGAGCGGATATATGTATGGGAGTTATAGTGGGAGAATTAAGAACGGAGTTTGGAGCTCATCGGAAAAACTATGTAACGACACTTCTCATCGAGAGCTTAGATTACTAAGATCACGTTATTGTCAACCTCAATTTTATATTTTGAAGCTTTTTAATATTTTGTCAACTTGAATAATAAATTGAAACCAACTAAATAATTTTGATCAAAATTAAATAACGTCTAAATAGAATTCTTTTATCTAAAATGATTCCTTTCCCGCGCTGAAACCGAGTATTTTAATACTCCCGGGCGAAAGAACTACCGTAAGTAAAGTTTTCAATAAATAAAAATAACATCCACTAGATGGAAGCATAACATTATTTCCATTTGGAGATATTTTCAAAAATAGAGAATTCATTTTTTTAAGTTGGCCACGAGTGCAGTTGTACATTTATAATTATTTCCTTTTTTATTAATGCCCATTTATATTAATGTCTAATTTTACTTAAGTACTTTCATTATTAATTTCCAAACTATCAAATGTCCATTTTTAGAAATTTCCATATCCATTTAAGTATTCAAATGTCCAAAAATACACATTTCCAATAATTCCAATAATACAAAAGCAACACGAACAGGGATAAATTAAATTAATGTCACGCATAGTAATTTAACGCCACAGCCTGTGGTAGCTGATTTGGTGTTTCGTCTTCTGGTCGATAGTTGGTGCTCCGAGCGCTTGGTTGAGACTTCCTGCCGGTAGAGGCGTGACTGAGGATTCAGTGCCGCCACAAAAGCACGAATTTAAATGTAATTTGTATGAATTAAAATTCATTAAAGACACATGTGAGAAAATTAATATGATCTATTTCAACGACTAAATATTAAAGTAACCAATATGTAACTAACAATAAGATTGTTAAATAACATATTTTTGTTAAACTTACTTTTGGAGAATATTTTAATAAAATAAATTAAAATTAATTATCAATTCATGTTTTGTATCCGATTTATAATTAATTAACAATTAATGTTACAAGAAAAAGATTTTATAAAATAATACTATTAGATGATATTTTTCTTTTATGTAAACAATTAAGCTGTTTCACAGTTTTAGAGAAAACTTGATTATAGATTGACTGAAATAATAATAAGTTTAATCTAATTTGTAAAATACGAATATTAATGCTTCATAATATAAATAAATATATGTGAATTTAACAGAAAACATTATATATTTGAGTGTAAAGATCATGTAGTAGAAATGCGTGTACTTATGTACGTACTAGAGGGGATACATGTACGAGAGCTATGGTTGGGAGAAGAATGTTTGAAGCTCATCGAAAAGACCAAAGAGTATAAAAGTATTTTATACTCTAAGGGAAAAACTATGTAACGACACCTCCTCCAGAGCTCAAACCACTAAAAGCTAATTTTTATAAACTTTAAATCATATATGTTAAAGTTTGGCCAATTGAATTAATTAATAAATAGAAAATCAAGATAGTGCTGATAATTATAAAAATGAAATTGTTTCGAATTTTATTTTATTACATTAAGTTTCCTTTACCGCCCTGAAACCGAATATTTTAATACTCTCGGGCGAATAGATAACAGTTGGTAAATTTTCATGCAAAATAAGTTGATATCCATCAGATGGAGGCATAACAATGTCCTAATTTTTCCATAAATTACTAATAACAGCAAGCAAGACAGCCTGTGTTTAATAACCATCATTCTCTTCGGTAAACGAGTCAAAAAAAGTGAGACTCATTTATTAAATATCTAATTCAATTGATTGAATCATTTCAAAGATATTTAAAAAATACAAACCAAAAAGAAAAATGTTTTCAAATTTTTTTTTTTGAGATAAATTTCAAGTTATTTCACCATTTTTTACGAAATTCAAAAACAATCAACAACTTTTAAAATATAACAATTTATCAACTCTTTATTGCCTGATAAAGCTATAAAAATATATATAAAAAAGAATACTACACGATTTACATTCATGTCAATAGAACATACTTTCATAAAAATTAAAACTCTGGTTTGTTTTCTTTTTCTTTTTTTTACAGCTTTGTAAAATGATCACATTTTAAAGATCAAGTTGATAAGTTTGAATATTTTTTCTAATTTCAGTAACAATTTTGATCTCTTTATCTTTATTCATTTGACAAGTTTTCCAATCGATCCTGTCATTTAAATTCAATATTTTTCGACTGGCTAAAACCTGTCGACCGAATTGTAATGGAAAATTCTTTGCAATTTTATGAAATAGTTGTTCTCCACTCGGAAGCTGAACATAGAAATACGTTTCACCAGGTGAAGTAACTTCTTTAAGACTAGAATTTATTGTTGAAAATTGAATATTTTCAATCTTTGCAATTTCCTGAAAGAAATAAAAAATTAATATGAACATTATTACATCATAACACTTAGTTAAAAAATGTTCGATTTAGTTACCTGAAATGTTGACTTTACGTATGGTTCTAAATTTTTATTCACAGGTATTACTTGTAGCTGACAGTGAGAACTCTTATAATTTCGTTCAAAAAATACTGGTACTTTTCCAATATAAGAATAATAACGAGTTAATAAGTCTTTCGTTTTATTAATTTCCTTTTCGATTTTTTCCGGTAATGCTACTAAACTCTGATGATGACTTACAGGCAAAATTAGTAAATGATCATCTACTAATCCACCCTTTGCCAAAGCCACATATACTTGATCACCAATCGATACAATTAAATGTTTATCAATTTGTGGGCTTGATAAACAAAACCAGCATTTTGCTTGGTCGAATTCTATTTTCATTTTTTTTGTACCTTTTGAGTTTTCTGATGAACGTTTATTTTCATTTGGTTTTAAGCCATAAAAATATTGACGTGGCTCCATATCACTGTCGCTGTTAAAACAATCTGAATTTAATGTCCATGTAGGATAAGGAAAAGGCTTTTCATCGGTTGTTTTGGTCGCTAAATCTACTAAGCGCATACGATCAATGGGAATTAAATTCAGAGCATAAATCCATTTTTTCTTCTCTGTATTTGTTATGTGTGCCAAAGCAACAAATCTTGTAGCAATTTCAATATTTTCTCCATTTATTGATTTGTTTCTGAAAAAGAAAAATTGACGTTAATCATTTGAACTACTAGTCCTACTTTACCACGTAGTAAAATATTATGAAAAAAAAGAAAAAGCCAGTTACAACAAATCTAACAAGAGTAATATGTGTATCAATTACCTGTAAGGAGGTGGCTCATAAAAACTTTCTTCCAAAGCACATACATGATATCTCGGTTTAATTTGGGCAGCTAACCATGCAATTAGCTTAGAACCACGAAAATGAAGTTTTTGATTCGTAGAATCAAGGCGATTGACATCTATGGGCCACTGGGAACTCAATAGAATATCAACTCCTCTAAAATTGGGTTGGTTTTTCAAACATGTATTTCTCACTGAAGTAACGTCGTTCTCGGTCAATAAAATTTCTTTAGGTAACGTTGATTCTGGTTCATCAATACCGCTGACATACGCTACTTTTAGACCTGAATCTGTAATATATAATCCACGTTTGCCTAAATATATTAAATCAGGACAAATTTCGGAGCTTTCCAAGTTTAGATAATGTCCCAAGTCTGAAGTTCGGTTAGGCCCAATAATAAATGTTTTGATTGGAATTTTAGCTTTTGCACTCTTGTACTCTTCTAATTGGCTATTATTTTCACCAAAAAAATTTCCAATACAAAACAGTAAATCAAATGGACCACTTTTTTTTTTTATTTTTTCGACTTTTGAAAATAACAATCGTAAATTTCCTTGAACATCGCCACATACTAATATTTTCCGTTTTTCACTCATAATTAATTTGTAATATACGATACCTTAATTAATATTATTATCTAGACATAACCATCTGATAACTATTGAATAAATATTTTAAATTACGTTTTAATATGTATTTTATATCAAATACCTTTTACACTGTGTGTATTCAACCGAGTTGTGTTTTCATCAACATAACCTCTAATAAGTCACAGAGGGCTTTTTTCAATGAGAAAAAAAAACGGTTATACTATATAGACTATACACATATTGGGAAACTTAGAACTTTGATACGCCAACTAGTGGTTCAAAGTGTAACTACTCAAGGTAGGCTAATTTTGTATATATACATATGGCTCACTGAATTTGGCCCCACTTTTTTTGATTTTCGGATTTTTGATATTTTTAATTATTTGTTCGTCGTTTGTTCGTTAATGTTCGAATGTAAAAATTATTTGTTCGTCTTTTATTTATTTATAATTAATTAAACAAATGATCACCCTTAAGTTGGCCCCCCTTACTAGATATCTTTATTTTTATCACTTAGATTAATTAATTTTGATTAATTATCGTTTGTTCGATGACTATTGGTGATTGTTCGATCATAAAAACAATTAAATTCCCAATTATTAATTATTTTATATCTAATATGCAAATCATCACCTCACGCCTACATTGCGCATGCGCCAGCAGTCTAATGGCAACTGAGCGATGCGTAGTGCATGTCATGTAAAAAAATGACATTATAAATAGTGCTCCATTTCGAATATCATCAAATTATACGATTTGAATGAAGTATTTATTCAACAGTGTGAGTACCTCGATTAAATACAAAGGTATTTCATTCTTATTAGGAAATATTGTAAGTAGTTCCGATAGTGGTAAACTTTATGGAGTGTACATATGTACATGTGTAAATTTAGACAAAACCGTAGAAGTAGCAGTGGTATCTCACACTCCAACGATAGAAAATGTGACTGTAATTCTCACGAAAATCAGAGGCATTTTCAAAGGTCCCGAGGTTCCGAAGGACGTCGAGGTGGGTCTGGAGGTAGCTGTGGCAACTGGATTCAACATTATTTTCCATGTTTGTGGACGATGAAAACGTTATTCTGTCTCTAAAAATCAGCATTGTAATGCTGTTAGTGAACCCAGGAATAACATGAAATTCAATAATGATTACAATATTGGGTAAATTAATACTAAAATTAATTCAAAAAATTTAGTTAAGCTTTTAATTGTATTGCTATTTCATCGGTGTTGATTATTTTTACTATTTTTTATTCATTGATTTTTTATACTACATAAACTGATTTATCAATTTAGATTACGATTGGCCAAAATAAAAGTTGATGTTGATACCAAGAACGAGAAAAAAGATGACAGTACAAATGAAACTGGAGTTGGTGAAAGAGAACCTGCAGAGGAAACTGATGTTATTCACTACGGCAAAGTCAAATCGTTATTTGATGATGTTAACTTTGATGGCGACGAGAAGAGTGAAAAGTTTGTATTGCTTTCAAGTGTATTTTTTTTTTTTTTTTTTTTAATTAAGAAATTAACCTTAAGTTTTTAACGTTAATATTTTATTATTTTCATTATATAAAAAAGAGACCGATGTACAAAAATAGCGATCAATGTTAAATTGATAAAAAGTTATTTTATTTGGAGAAAGTAATTAATAATTTTTATTGTTACGTGTCTATCGAAAATTCGAAAACTTTGTAACAATGAAAAATCAAAATTAACTTTCTCACAAAAAATTTTTATTTCCCGATAGAAAATCTCAGCATTCGAATTGACGAACCGAGCGTAAGTTGAAATGAAAAACGAAGTATCCTGTTGGCTGGGTTCTAGATGACTACATTTTTCATGGACGTGGACGATAAGAGCATGGTAGTACTTATCCTCCAAATCAAAAGGGTAACACTGGCAATAAACCTTTGAATACTTTGAAATTTAAAGTGATTTTGAGGAACTCAATTTCAACTTCGATAACTCAGGTAAATTTTTATTAATTATTACTACTACTTATTACACTAAAAAAAAGGTTTGCTTGAACTACGAAAATTTTTTGAAAAATTCATATATTTCGGTACTGAAAGACAATTCCTTAAGACAAGGATATTTCATTCCAGCCAATATAAAATTCGTTTTCCCAATTATTGTCTTGAGTCGAGAAAATTAGTTCTTCAATAATAAAATTTTGTATTCTATATACTTATCATAAATTGCCCTCATAGATAACGTAAAATTTGTGCTAGATTCCTTTTAATGCTTGAGTTAAATGATAAATATGAATATCATGCTAAATTAATTAGATATGTTTATTAAAACTACTTTTTAATCAATGGCGTTTAATTTATATCATAATCGTTCACTTCTTCATTATTCTTTATTTTTTTAATAAGAATGAAAATATGTGATGATCCATGTTAAAATTAAAAAAAAAAAAATTGATGCTGGCATTGAGAATGAAAAAAAAAAAAGAATTACAATCGCCCTTTAATTATTGACGTTTGGCTTATGCACATCGCGCATATATTTTTTTAATAAATTTCATTTCAAATGTTAATGATTTTTTATTTAGATCACGACTGGCTGAATAAAATAGATGCTAGTATGGAAAATGAGGATAAAATTGACATTGCATTTAAGACTGAAGCTAGTGAACGAGGACCTGGTGAGGAAACTGATACTCTCCATGATAAAGCTAAATCGTTTTTTAACAATATGTAGTCATCAACATGAGTATGGGGTCAGTATTTTTTCATACTATATTTATTTATTTATCTATTTTTACACATTCATAATTATTTTGTAGTTTAAATGTATTTAACTATACCTATTAAGTAATTAAATTTAAAGCTTATCTGTTCTCAGTGTAAAAAGTGTAAAAATTAATTATTGTACAATTTTTGTTTATTTATTTAATTATTATTGCTAAAAAATTTAAATTATCGATGAAGTGGAGTTATCATATGCCGGTATAGTAACATTTGATTTTATCGTGGAAAAATTTGACGAATTAGTTATTTTATAACTAAAAATAAAAAATAATAAATAACAAATAACAAATGAATTAAAAGTGTGATGAGTTACAGCTTAAAAAAAAATTTTTTTTTCGAAAATTCACCTTTCATTGATCGTCAGTTATTATTATACATATATTTATTATACTTGTAGTGTTGACAGCTTTAACAAATGACAACTACGTCCGTTATATTATTGTATAGATATATTGTTGCTTCTATTGTTGTAAGAAAATTTACCAACTAAGTTAGGTGTAAAAGGTTAATATTAATAATTTTTTTTATCTGATTATTTTATTAATTTTTTTGTTTTTTTTTCTCTTACAGGCAGCTTTCGAGTAACTTATTATGCCATCCGTAGCAGCTGTGCCGGTCGATTTAGCTGTGAAAGTTTTAAAAAAATACATAGCTCATTTCACCAATGAATTTCCACCATGGAAGTCAGAAATCTGGAAAAAAATTGCAAATGATCCTGAGCTAGAGGGTAAATGGTCTATTGGTAGCGTGAGAACGAATGTTAGAGAAGATAGAAGAGGAATTTTGAGTGAAGCCAGAAGACAGTGTGGTATTAGTGTAAATATCATATCTAATAAAAAATCAAACGTAAATGAAAATTGTGACATCTCCGAAGAATCAGATGAAGATTGTGACGAGGATGATTTGAATGAAGAATCAGATTCTGAGAATGATGATATTTATAAGAATGAATGTTTTACAGTAGAAATTTCCCGGGATCTGTGGAATGAAATACGTAACCCTGAGCCTCTGGCTTACAAAGGTCGCAAATATATTGGGTTTAAACCAAAGGGGTGGACCAATGAAGTATCTAATGCTTTTTGGAAGCAGCACCATTTAAAGTGTGCTTTCGTGTTTAAAAGAGGCAGAATAACTGAAAATGGAAGAAATTATGCGACTATATCCGGACGCTGTCGAGCTAAAAATTGTCAAAATCCAGTGAAAGGAATAATTAAAGACTGTCCTGGAGAGGTCGGGCCTGTATATATTAAAATGTTTTGTCGTGATACTCGTTTCGTAAAACACGAAGATGTCAAAAGACCACTTAACGGAACAGAACGTCTGAAAGTGCAAGCAGAACTTTTGAAAACTCGTGCTTCTGCTTGGAGGAAGGCTAAAGCCAAAGATAATATAGATCCGGGAGATACTGGTTCGCCGTTTGTGTATGATTCGAATACTCTGCATCAAGCGAAAAAAGAAGCTAGCAACAAGAAACTTGGTATTAAAACTGATGACACGCGAGACATGATTTTAGCGATTAGAAACATGAATGTTGATCCGTCTTATGTTAATTCTATTTTGGCGATTGGTGATACACCATTTTATGTATTTTATGCAACTCCAACGCAGTTTCAAGCATACAGTGAATATCAACGCACACATCGGCAATATTCATGTATATGTATAGATGCAACCGGTGGTGTTGCAAAAAAACTGATCGATTCAAGAGGCGACAAGACAGGTTACATTTTTTTGTACGAAATTGTAATAAATTTTGATGGAACTTCAGTAGCCGTGTATCAAATGTTGTCGGAGGTACATGACACTTCTTTCATCGCTTTTTGGCTCTCGCGATGGGTACAGAAAGTTAAATTACCCAGCCAAGCAGTTTCTGATGGCTCAAAAGCCCTCTTAAATGCGATGTCGATTGCTTTTAATAATAAAACATTAAAAGAATATATTAATTTTTGTTTTGAAGCATTAATTGCTGGAACTAATAAACGCCCCAACACGTTTATTAGATTAGATACTGCACATTTCATCCATTCTGTGTCTAAATGGAAGTGTTTTGAATCAGCATTAAGCAAAATAGTTAAGACTTTTTTTATCCGTTGCATGGCGCTAATTGTTGACTGTCGAGTTTTAAAACAACTGGAAGAAATTTTTATTTTAATGCTAATTGTTGCGAACACAGAGTTTGAAGATTCAATAATTGCTGTTGATAATAACTGTATGACCCCTTTAGACGCCAGAAAACGCTTGGAGGGATTTATTTCTGATAGAAATATTAAAGTCGCAGAAAGTGATTTAGATGAACCTGATGTGGACGACAAAATTCTTCTGGATAAGCTTTCTAATTTTGATACAGATCACCTCGGTTGGTCTGTCTCCATTTTAACGTGGGTTGATAATTTAAGTAGAAAAGCTAATACAATTATTTTTACTGGGTCGAATCTAAATAGCTTTCGTGTACGTGGTTTATATGACAGACTACTCGAAAAAATTAAAGAGTTTCCGATTTTTACAAACATTTGCACTCCAGAGACAATGTCTAGAGGAACATCTTGTTTCATAGAAGGTGACTTTAAAGATTTAAAATTGAATTTAGAGCAACAAGTTAAATTACCTACTACGATTCTTAAGTTTTTAAAGCTTCACATACCAGAATTATTAGGTGGCATTTGTATATTTCGAGCTAAAGTCAATAAGTTCATTGTCGATAATCAATTTAAGGATGACATGAATGAATGCGAGCATGGAAAATGGTTTGAAAACTGGAAAGGGCTAGGAAAGGAAAAGACTGCTAGAAGTGCATGGACAGCTTATGAAAATCCAACAAAAGAAGAAAATGAAAAAAATGATAACGATGCTCTATTTGTTAATAGTGAAAGCACAAATAACGATTCCTCAATTTCACATGATCATGATTATTCAATTAAATTGGAAAACTTGGATAACGTTTCATCGTCGACACAAATCACAGAAATTAGTCCAAATGAAAACCATAATGATGATAACAAGAAAAACGTAAATATTACAACTGACTTACCTTCTATTGAAGTAAATAATGATTGTTTACTTAAAGCTGTAGAAGAGATAAATAAGAATAAGATGGACAATAAAAAAGAAACTAAATATTTTCAGAATTATCCTGAAGTAAAACTACAAAACAATTTAGTTAATGAAAAAGTGAAAAAAATTTTTGTTTTAAATAATGGCAATTTATCTGGTTCGGTTTCTTTCAGTAAACAAAATTGGATAGTATACAATACGTGTCCTTTTGATACGATTGTTCAAGTATTATTTCATAGTGCACTAGAACATCCGAATTTTCACGAATTTCTCACACAGTCTAATATTCCAGTTTTTAAATTTTTGACTGATTTTATGAACAGTGGGCCATCTAAAAAAATTTATGAAAAGAGACTGTCACTACTACATCCATTATACATTGGAACAAATGATGGGAAATTGCAGAAGATATCTGACAAAGGTTCGAAAAGCTCTGTGCTATGTCAGACTATTAATTGTCAAGACAATATTATAAATTTGTGGAAGACATTGTTGCAAGAGGTACCTGGAGTACTTGAAGAGATGACGTGTTCGAATCCAGGTTGTGGTTACTCTTACACAAAGATTTTACCAGTTCTGTTCGTTAACCATAATGTAATAATCAAAAAAGGATTCTCTTCATTGGAAAAAGCTCTAGACTTTCATGCGAAAATTTTTAATGTTTCGTGTTCATTGTGTAAATCCGGGAAGCAAACGCGTCGTTACACTCCTAAAGAGTGCATTTTTATTGAATTAGACATTCGTGGAAGTAGCAAGGAATCATCTGGACGTACCTGTACATTAAGCGAACTTCCTGCTAAAATTACTTTGAAAGCTCACAATAAGGATGCAATTTATATTGACTTATGTTACCGGTTAGTTAACCTTATTTTATATTATTTTTACATGTATGTATTTAGAACTAAAAATTATTATTCTATGTAAATTTTCAGATTGTCCGGAGTAGCAGCTTATGATGTCGGTCATTATTTTGCATACTGTAGGAAAATATCAGGTAGTTGGAAAAAATTCAATGACCTCAAAGTAAAACCTGAGTTTGTGTCACCTAGCACTCGATTGCAGCCTCACGGAGTTTTTTATGTTTTAGAACCACAATGAGTCATTTAATTGTGATTTTTAACGAGTAAAAGAATGTTATGTTCTTGTGATTTTATTTTTATACTTTTTAGAGAAAATGACCAATGATAAATAATAATAATAATGATAAGCAATTATAGTTAACATTAAAATATAGTATTTTTAGATTAAATATGCAATTTTAAATTTCGATCTTTAATTTTAAAAATTTTAAGTTAATTTTTTTTTTTTAAATATAAACTTCAAAATATTTGAATTTATAATTGTGTGACTTATTTTTATCACTTTCACATTGCTATTCAAGTAATATAGATTTCTTATTAATTAATTTAATTTGCTTAATTTTTATTATCTTTCATTGAGTAATTAATTTAAATCTTAAAGTAAATTAGGATAAAGATTAATTATTTGACTTTATTTAGTGTTTCAATACTTATATAATTTATTTTTCTGAATGTTTTCGAAAATGAATCTTCTCTATGTGGTATCTTATAAAAAATAACTTTAGTGTTTTGACTTGGTTTTTAACTAAGAATGAACATTGATTTTTATAATTACCAAAATTGTTTAAGAAATGAAGAAGTTTGGATTAAATGATGAAATTTGAGTGTACTTTCATAAATTTGTGACTTAAGTGCTTAATGAAAGAGCCTGATTTAGAAAAAATTTCATAATATTTATTGTGATATAATAATAAAAGAGTTTGAAATTATTAGCAATTATAATGATGATGGGTGTTATTTTCCTTAGGAAAATCTGAGAGAAATTAAAATTCGAGACAAACCCAAATATAGGAAGTCGGTTTAACTTTGATGTTTTATACTTACAATGAAATATTTTACTATCAAACGAAAATAACTTTATTGATAGATTAAATATAAAGACTTAAAAAACTATAACAGTTCAATAAATAGACCTATTTTAAAAACAGTAAAGAATTATTTTCGACTGACGGTGTGTCTGATGAATTATTTTATAAGACACGGTGAGTCCTTTTATTTATAAATTAAAATTTGTGATCATTTTTTATATTTAGTCTAATTACTAATTGATCTTTTAATAAGTAGGCATGAACGAGTTTTCTCACTGAACATTGGTTATCAACGTTAGCTACTGTAACGAATGGTACGATTGAGTTGAACGAGACTAGTGAATAAATCTCTCTAAGCTCATCCATGGGTTGATCGATGAAACAGTTATGCAAACATATCTTTGATAACCCGTTTAAAACTTGGAAGGATAAATTGCAAAATAGAATAGAAAACTATACGTTAATATACTTGCTGATTTTTATATAAGATTAGATTTTTACTGTGTTGGTGGATATTTTTATTGATATTCGACATTGTTGTTTAACAAGTATTTAATATTACAAAAGTTTAGGAACGTTTATAAATCTTATCGATTATGTTTATATGATTATTACAGTATTTCCATAGTTTATTTAATAAAAGATGAATTTGAATTAAGATATCAAATCATAAAGAACAAGAATCTATTAATCTATGAAAGAAAATTCTGATGATTTAATGACAAAAAAAAATTTATTGCTTTAACCCGCGATTGTTTAATGAAGACTATCAACCTTTGCTCTTACTCTGCCAGCAATGTTAAAAACATAGCGGATTCATATTAAAAGTAATTTCAAAATTAGTGGGTTGTGTAGATTAGAGTACGCATTTTGATAATTATAATTATAAACAATTAATAACTTTTTAATCATTTCTTTAGGACAGAGCATTAGACCTTAATTATGCGTTTGGTTCAAACATGTACTCTGAATCATCCCGAAGGTGATATTAAAGTATGGAGACAAATAGTCAATTAGTTTTTCTTTGTTTAATTTATTTAAACATCTGTTTGATGATTTAGTTGAAACAGATCAACTACTGTGTAAAAACCGAGATGATATTTAAAACAATGAGATACGTGCTGGCTTGTTGATAACCTGGATATTGAGTACCGAAACAAGAGTAATAGGATAAAGAATTTCGTATGTCTAACCCTATAAAGAAAAAATGATTAGTTCGAGATAAAAAAAACACCGTTATCTTAGAATTATGTAAATGTAAATCAAAAAAATGAAATTTTTTATTGCGCTTATTCAATTTTTGGGATTTCTTTTTCTTTATTGATTATTACCTATATTTGTATCTCTACGTATTCTTAGTCAGGTAAATGTAGATGAGAATACATGTTCCACTTAAAACGACAGCTCACTACAAGATTGAAAGGTTTTGTTATGCAAATGTTTTAAAAATTCCGATGAAATTATTTGTTATCCATAATAATCCATCAGTAAATTGCTAGGTTTCTTTGTTTAAAATAGCTAGGGAATTAATGAAGTGATAAGGTGCTTATGATTATTACCACATTCCAAAAAATCCTATCATTTCATCTCCACTATTTTATCGTTCATTAATAATATTAGTTTTTTAAAAGAATTAATTATTAGTTTTATGGAACCTTTTGAGTATTTACTTTTATTAAAATTTTAAAGTTGTTTTTTTAATTAAAAGACAATATTGAAACTACAGTTAAAATGTCCAAGAATGTCAAATGTATACACTTTGACTAGAAAAAAATTTCTTTTTCTACATGTTTAATGTCTATTTTTCATAACAAAATTATGTACAGTGTTCAATCTCCATAATTTTTTAGTGGTCGATTAATTTTTAGAAAGAAATTTCTTTCATCATAATTAACAATTTTCAATGAAAAAAATTACAAAACACGATACATAAAAAAAAAATCTGCACATTTTTTGAGGTTAACCAATAATACATCTAATATATACATCTTTAACAGAATTATAAATAGGCCTATCATTTTAGCAAAGAAACAAGTTAAAAACAGTTGTATGATATACACACCCACACACATATGTACATATAAGTTAAATTCATCTGTAATTAGAGCAATTACTCTTTTTGTTTACTCTACAAACAGCTTTATGTGGCTTTATGAGTTAAGTATATATATTGGACGTAATGCAAGTAAATGGACTATATAGACATTAGATGTTTTTCGATGATTATTAATAAGTACATAATTTATTAATAATGATTCTTTTACAACTAAACGTTTAAGCTAAACCACAGATTTAATCTAAACATTCTAACGGCAAATATTTGGAACAGTGTACATACAGTAAAATCTAAATTAAGTTTCACAGGTTATCTCTTAGCTCTCGTGAAAAAAGTAAGGCATCACTGCGAAATATTACAGATTTTATTGTGTGTCTCAATTTTCTGACAAATTTCCTCGATTTTGCGTTTCATCTGGTTTTCATTTGTGTAGCTTGGTCAGCCGCTATCCTCCTTACTAATTTGACACTATACACACACGTGACTGTGATTAGTTAACAGAAAATACTTTGAGGGTCACTGTTTGAATGTTCTGCAAACAGCTGATTTCTCCAATCATTGATCTCTGCTATAAACACATGTTTGTGCCGTTAAACATATTTGTATCATTAAAAATCATGTGATTTATTCAATTCACAAATATAAAATAGTTTTTATGAGTATAGTTCAATAAGAGAGATCAACAAGTAATATTTAGATGAAATAATTTAAGCTAAGTGATTAATTAATTCTTTTATAAATCACATTGAATTTTTTAACTGAAAAATAAAATGGCTGACCGTGATAGTGCGTCCGAAAGTGATTCAAGTTCGATAGATGGAGGACCAATTATGATGCCTCCTTCACCAATAACTCGAGAGCAATTGCAGAAACGAATTGAATCTCTTCAACAACATAATCGAGTACTAAAAGTTGAACTTGAAACTTACAAGCTTCGAGTGAAGGCCCTTCAAGAAGAAAACCGAGGACTTCGGCAAGCCTCAGTAATTATTGTAAGTTATTTTTTTTTACTGATTTTTTTTTTTATTGTAAAATGTTTTCTCCTTTTGCTAAAAAATTTTTTGATTTTTTTTTCCTTCATCATTTAGCAAGCTAAAGCTGAACAAGAAGAAGAATTCATTAGTAATACTTTATTGAAAAAAATCCAAGCTTTAAAAAAAGAAAAAGAAACATTAGCTCATCATTATGAGCAGGAAGAAGAATGCCTCACTAATGATTTGTCAAAAAAATTAAATCAATTAAGGCAAGAAAAGTGTAAACTAGAGCAAACTTTAGAACAAGAGCAAGAATGCTTAGTAAATAAATTGATGAGAAAAATTGAAAAATTGGAAGCTGAAACTTTAGCAAAACAGAGTAATTTAGAGCAACTACGAAGAGAAAAAGTTGAATTGGAAAATACTTTAGAACAAGAACAAGAAGCACTTGTGAATAAGCTATGGAAAAGGATGGACAAATTGGAAGCGGAAAAAAGAATGCTTCAAATAAAGTTAGATCAACCGGTTTCGGATCCTACGTCTCCTAGAGAAATAAGTAATGGTGATGCAGCAACAAATCTCAGTACACATATACAAACATTGAGAAGTGAAGTCGCAAGATTGAGACATACTCTGTTAATGTCACAACAAGAACATACTGAAAAAATGCAGCGCTACGTTAACGAAGAAAAACATATTAAAGAAGAAAATTTAAGGCTGCAGCGCAAATTACAACTAGAAGTTGAACGCCGTGAAGCTCTCTGTAGACATTTATCAGAATCTGAATCTAGTTTAGAAATGGAAGAAGAACGTCATTATAACGAGATTGTTATGTCAGGAAGTAATATTAGAAATCGAACAGTATCAAGTCCTGTACCACACAATCCATCACCCAGTTCATCTAGACCGCTTAGTCCTGGAATTAATATAGTGGGCTCTACTACTGCTCGTGATAGTTTTACATCAAATCGCTGTTTTGCTTGTGGACAGCCAGTAATAGCTCTTCCATTTTCTAGTTCTCCACCTTCAAGTACTGCTCTTATGGCCTCTACTTCAAACAGACGCACTTCTGATAGATTTGTCAAACCTGCGATTCCACCAACTGTAATAAGTCCAGGAGGGCCGCAATCATTGTCACCTATTACTAATACATCTGCTGGCTGCCCAATGGATATAACTAAAACATAAACTATTGATACTAATTTTTAAAAAATGTTGCTTTCCAATAGTTGAAAATTCACTGTTACAAACTATAATTGTTATCAAATAACTGAAACATTAAGGTCTACGTTCAATAAATCATCGATTTCTTATTTGTTAAATAGATTTCTATACTAGTTTTGATTAATTATACTATCCATATTTGTTATAATTATAACAATGTCTGAACGATATAAGGTTTTTTTTTTTCAACGCATGTGCAGAAATCGTTAGTATATTTCAAAATAAGAGTATGAATAAAAATTGAGCTCTTAGTTTCAGCTTTCAGCTTTTCCCCGCAATTTTATTCGATTTTCCATTCCCATTTGAATAAAAATAATAAAATTATTCTCATACTTCACAAAATTTATAGATCTTTGCCACGTATATATGTTTTCAAAGTGAATTGAAATTTATTTTTTAAATTCCAATTCCACAATCATTAAAGTCAAAATATACTACTATTGATTATTTTTATTTTAATCTCAAACAACTTTTTAACACAGTAAATTCTTTAAGCTGATTATTTTTCCTATATGATTTAAAAAATAGAAAATACATAAAAAAATTTTTACATTATAATTACGAGCTCAAATTTTAATCCGGCCTTCGTTTTGGTGTAAACTATTGATTTTTGTGAATTCTTTAAATAAAATTTTTGTTTATAAGTGCTCTGATATGAAATTTCTTTTTTAGAATGTCACTTTTGTGCTTTTTTAAAAAGTTGTAATATGATAAATTGTATTTTTCAAAAATTAAAGGAATAATACATTTCGGTGTAAGTTTTGTCGTTAACAATTATAATTATAATAATAACAGCATCAATAATATTATAGAATCAATAATTTATATATTATATATATCAATAGATTTAATAATTCTTACAAATGATCCACATTAAAACTTAGAACTTCATATTTGTTCAGTTCGTTGAAATGAAATAATTAAGGACCAATAAAAATTGGCAGGTAGAAATTGATGAGGTTTACCCCTATTAAAAAATAGCAGATTACGCATCAAAGAAGGCAAACATGGCAAAACCGAACCTTATGACTCTAATATGATGAAAATTTATTAAGTTTATGTTTTTAACATTAGTTCATAAAATTCAACTGATAGCGTGGAAAAAATAAGATATTAATTTCATTTCATTTTACAAGTAAACAACTGTTCAAACTTTCAGATGATGATGATTATCATCAATTGCAAGTGATTTTTAAAAATTTGAAGTACGTAAATAGTAGCTTGCAACGTATTACTATCCTTCCGGTACTTTTTGTGGACCCTAAAACTCCTTTATCTCTCTTACGGCAATAAATAAATAAATGATTAATTGATTAATGTGATAGGTTGGGTTTGCTATTTTAATTTTTTTTTTTAGTTTTGATTTCAATTTTGTTCTAGAGAAAATCTAATTTCAAATTAGAATACTATTCTATTTTTTTTTAGAATGTGGCTTATTATTAAACTCACTTCGAATTGATAAAAATTGAACTATGTGGATAAAATGACGTTTTTTTTTTTTATTTGATAATCATCAAACTTCATGTATTTAGCTTGTTGAGTATAACTTTTCAAAACCAATCAGTATCAAATTTTAACGTGGTTTATTGCATCCATGTCAGTACCAAGAGCATCATTAAATTAATCAGTATTTCAATAAAAAAAAAATCTTAACGCATCTGTTTTCAATCTTATAAATAAATTCTAGCGAAAATTTCTCAAAATGTCTAACCTGAAAGATTTTTCATTCATTGGTGGTTTACAAAAACATATTGAAATTGTAAAAGAAATGATTTTATTTCCTCTTGTTTACGGTGAATTATATTCTAAATTCAATTTGAAACCACCAAGGGGATTGTTGTTTTATGGCCCACCTGGTTAGTTATTTATTTTAATGTTTATTTTAATCGATAAATACTTTTATAAGATTCATTAAAATTATAACAGGAACTGGAAAAACACTAGTGGCGAGTGCTTTAGCAATCGAGTGCAGTAACTCAGAACGAAAAGTTGCATTTATATCACGGAAAGGCTCTGATTGCCTCAGTAAATATGTCGGTGAAAGTGAAAGAAAACTTCGAAAAATATTTCATACTGCTCAACAAACAAAACCCTGTATTATTTTTTTTGATGAAGTTGATGGATTAGCTCCAACAAGATCAAGTCGACAAGATTTTGTTCATGCCAGTGTTGTATCAACTCTTTTAGCACTGATGGACGGCTTAGATAATAACTCAGAGATAATTGTCGTTGGTGCAACGAATAGATTGGAAGCGATCGATCCCGCGTTGAGAAGACCAGGCAGGTTTGATCGAGAACTATACTTCCCGCTGCCCTGTTATATTGCTAGGAAAGATATTTTGTCGGTAAATCATAATAATTACTTAAGATTTATTATTAACTTATACTACTGAAAATATCTCATAAACATAGAAATAAGTACTTGAAGAACAAATCGGCACGCTTCATTACTATGCAGATCTACAAAAATTTGAAGATTAAATGAATTGTGATATTAATGTACATCTAAGTAGATATACGGACATAATAATTGTGATATCTTTATATCTCCTTATATGCTCAGATGTACGTAGATCAAAAATGATTTTTCCTGGGTATAGTCATGAATATTTTTATTCAAACATAAAATCTAAAATGATCTGACTTGAATGCCCTTTAATAATGCATATTACTCATATATGTAAAGATTGTGCAATATTCGATTCGGTGAAAGATATTGAATTAATATTTGTCAATTAAAATGCTACAATAATAATTATCTTTCTGACGTTAAAGAAAGTTCTTATCCCTGATTGAAAATACTGATTGAAAAATATTGGGAACAGTCACCCCATGTAAACTGTATATCTATATACATGAAAAAGAATTGAAAGTATTCAAAAATATTCAAATTTCATCATTTTTAATCCTTTTCAACCAATATTTTTAACCAGGGATATAAGAATGTATATATATATATACTTTTATCTTTTCTGCATTCACAGTCGGTACATCAATTGTCTTAAAACAGACGTTTATTACTCACTTCTCTATTACTTGGAGGTGCATAACTAATGTTTGCATCGTGAAATCACCGTATATATTTGATAAATTTATAGTAGACGTCTTTCACAATGGTATCCGATGCTGATAGAAGATAGAATAAATTATTTTCTATACATACTACCCACAAAGAAGTCTGAATTTTTCCCGATTTTTGACCTGCTGTAACTCAGTGAAAAATGATCGTATTGCAAATCTAAAAAGATGCATTTTAAAGCTTTAAAACTTCATGATTATAGTTCTTATAATCATTAAAATAAAAATACATTCCAGCTTCCAAAAATGTCTTTTAATTTTCTGTGCGACCATTGGTAGCTGAAATATTAATAATTGAAGACAAATGGGCTTTTGCAAACATATTGCTTTCATGAAAGTAATATAATTCTCTTTAATTATGTTTTATGAATTTTTTTGAATTTAGAAAAAAAATTGTCAACTTTAAGTTGCATTTTGCGTTTAATTGGATAATCTAAACATTTCTTGACAAGTAATTCTATCCGGTATCAAAATTCTGTTTAACTTGGAAACTGTTATTCCTAAGCAGTTATTTAAAATTTGGACATTCATAACTCAAACCTTATAATCTTTGCAATTCTTTGGTAAATATTTGAGAAACTTTTTCTTCACAAAATAATTTTTTTTCCAAAATTTGTTCTAAATAGTTTTAAATTTATTATTGAATTTTGTTTCTATTGATGAATTAAGTTATTCATTATTAGTGATATATTATTTTACTAAAAATCAATTTTCTTTATTTGAAAAATCTACTTCCATTTCGGCTGCCGAATGGCCTTTTTAATACCTCAACTTGGTATAATAACTGAACTAGACAAGATATCGAAATTCAGTAAAATGCATCGTAAAGCTCTTTTATTAAGCTTTAATTTTCACTACCTAAAAGTGGAAATAGCTTTAATATTACTCATTTTAGTTCATTTAAAAGAAACGGTTGCAGCCGTTTCGTTAGAATTATTGGCTGTATTATAGTATAAATATGATACAGATTTCCGTGTAATGTATTCTGGGGTAGATATTTGTAATTTTAATTAATAACTAATGAAATGAAATCTACTTCCATTTTGGTTGCCGAATGGCCTTTTTTAATTTTCAAACCGCAATAACTTTTGAATGAATGAACCGATTTTCACGTGGTTGGCGACATTCAATGCAGTTTTTTAAGCCTCATGGAGGATCTAAGTTTCAATTGAACGAATCAGAAATTTCGAAGTAGTTCCGAAAAAACACTTTCGAATCGGTCCAAATTATATTGTAAATCTAAGTTTGGTCAAAGCCCTTTCGAATGGCACACACACACACACACACACACACACACACACACACACACACACGCGCGCGCGCGCGCGCGCACACGCACATAGAGATAGTCAGAATAGCTTTCTCGAACCTTAAAACGTGGAGATCTGATGAGAACTTAATTTTCGAAAATCTGAGTGAAAACAATAATTTCCCGATTATTTGAAAATCTGATTTTCTTAGCGGGGTATTAAAAATGTATGACCAAAATAAGCCATATTCATGTTAAACCATGCCTTAGAACAATCACTAATTTCTAATTTATTTGAAAAGTCTTCTTGATTCTAAATTCGTCAATTTGATATCTAGTTTTTAATACTGTTTAAGTTATGAATAATTATACAAGTTTTTTTATTTCAATAGGTTTATGTTAAGAATTGGAAACAAAAACCTTCAGTAAAATTTTTAGCATACTTAGCATCAAAAACAGTTGGATACTGTGGTAGTGATCTTCAAGCTTTATGTGCAGAAGCAGTAATGTGTTGTGTTAGGAGACACTATCCTCAAATTTATTTGTCTAAGACTAAATTGAATATCAACGAAAAATCATTAAAGGTCAGTTTTATAAAATATTATTTGTGATAGTGAGTAAGCAAAAAGTCAACTGGCATACCTCAAATATGTGAGGCGATATACCAAGTTTTAAAATAATATGTGCCTCCGATTCCTACAATAAGAATTATTCTATTGATATGGTTACGTCCGTTTAGAAACATTTTGGAGATTTTTTTTGTCCAACCCAAAAAAAGTTATGAATTTAAAAAAAAATGGCTTTTTTGTTTTCAAATAGCCATTACTTTTTTTGATATTGTGTGTGTGTGTGTGTTTTTATTATTAAAGGGGAAGGGGGAATGCTCTTTACGCATTCCAGGCATAGATGTTTTTTTATGGATGTTCTGCATAGATGTTCTGCATAAATGTTTGGCCTGGATATGTGGCGACTCGGTCTAGCATCATCCTAAAACACTAACTGTTTTTTTTTTTTAGGACTTTTGACACTAGCCCATACCCACTAAACCCTAAACCCCTTTCTCTTCTATCCTCTGATCCCCCATGGTACCGCCGTCATGCTTGCTTGGGACTGGTGAGGCGTGGGTTCGAGTCCCGGTGTGAGCTGAAATTTAATTTTCAGTGAACATTGGTGCTCATAACTCACGCCGGGCTGTACAGGCTTAGTAGTGTATCAAGGAGTTAGTAATTAATAAATTAAAAAAAAACCGTAAATATTACTTAAAATTATTATTGTCCTAATAATACAAAATTTTTCATTTTGGTGAATTTTAGCATTTTCGAATGGGATTTTTATGAGTAGGTTATTACAAGACGGTTAAAGGAGCGTTATTCGACAAAGGAAGGAACGTGAAACGACGGTAAATCGACAGTGACACGACGATGAAACAACAGCAAAACGACGGTGAAACAACTTTGGATTCACTTCTATTTTACTGTGTAACAAAAGTGCTTTGACTGTCGAATAACTATACATTTATGAACTTTTTACTATGGTTTCACTCCATAGTTGCCATATAAAAATGACGTTTGAACCATTTTACCAAGGTCTAATAATCTGATATATACCATATTTTGACAGTAGTGAAATGAAACAGTCACCAATGTTTCACCCTGAAATCACTACTGTAATGCTAAGTTCTCACTGTTGACCATAGAGGGAACTAGCGACTTTCCATATCATTTTCACCGTGACCACAAAACCGCCAGGGCAGCCCGAGAAAAAATATTTATATATAATTATATAACCAACTTGGCCATTTTTCATATATAATCATTGATTATATATGAAAAATGGCCAAATATAATCATATATAATTATATATAACTATATATAATTATATATAACAATGTTTAATTATATATTTATCACATCTAATTAATTATTGGGTTAATTTTATGGATAGAGTATTTAATATGGTCCTACGAAATTCTCTAAAAATAATTAAAATGCAAAAAAAATGTTCAGTATATAATTTTACTGCTATAACACCAGCGGTCACCCATCCAACTACTAACCCTACTCAATGCGGCTCAACTTTGGTGATCTCCGTGCGTCTTAAAGTTTCTGTCTGCTGTGCTGCTATCTTAGACAATAATGATTCTATGATCTACTTAATGCATCATAAGAGTTTATGTTAAATATAATATAAAAATTGATTTTATAATATATTTGGATAGTCATAATTCATAATTTATTCATCTTACCGAATTTCATTATAATATAACACTTATTTAAATAATAAAATAAATAATGATTTTACTATTACGTAGTAGCAGAGCAGACAAAACATCTCATAGAAAATGTGACAAATTTTGTATTTCAGAATTATGTAAACGTAATTATAAACATCATTTTACACTTTTCGTAATTACCAAAAAAAAATTTTTTTTCAAAGAAAAAATTTTTATATATGTTAATTACATATAAGCATATATAATTATATATGAGACTATGTACAATCTTGCATAGCTGTATATTGCTCCATATATAGTCATATATAATTATATATGACCTCATATACAATTCCATATATAATCATGTATGATTATATGTAATTATATATAATTATATATGGAACAATTATATAATTCTGCATAGCTGTATACTTGCCTCCATATATAGTCATATATAATTATATATGATTATATATAACCTCATATACAATTCCATATATAATCATGTATAAATATAAATAATTATATATGATTATATATAATTTTATATAATTATATATGTGATTCCATATATAATCATATATGATTTTATACAATTATATATGATTATATAGAAAAATTTTTTCTCGGGAGGTTGTACTGTATCTCACGAACGAATTGACCAATTTTGATGAGATTTGCGGCGTCCGACGCAGTTTCATAAAAACAAAAGAATTATTTATTGCTCGCTGAATGATCCAAGAAGAAATTTTGAAGTTACATCGGGAAAACACTTTTTTTTTCAATTTTTCGGAAACGATTTTTTTTTTGAACGAATGACCCGATTTTGATGCATTTTGCGGCAATCAATGTTGTTTTTTTGAGGTTATAAGCTGACGAGTTTTTGAATTCGATTGATAAACTAGTTTAAAAGTTACTGCCAAAAAAATTTATAAGATTTCTCAAAATCTACCAAACATAATTATTTGGTTCCATGATTTTTGATCCCCCGACAAAATGTCCCCGACAAAATATCCCCAAGACAAAAAATCCCCGACAATTAATCCTAAATAGCCGGAATCTACACTAATAAATGGAGAGCCGGTTTTTTGTCCAGTTATACTGCAAAAACTACTGAACCGGAGGCCCGGGGAAATTCCCGCAATTAGTTTAGGGCCCAGATACATTAAAGTCATAAGAATCCAAATAGATAGAAAAAAATGGTAGTTTTGTTATATGTTAACAAACTCACTGATACTTTAAATAAGAAATACCTAAGTATAATGACAAAGAACATTGTCGAAAAGATTAACCCCAAACAGAAAGATTTTAGAGTAACAATATTCAGATAAATTTTTAACAATACTCACTTAGAAAATCAAAGTTTACGTGTATTTTAAATAAGAAATCTTCTCACGCAATCTTCGAATTTTAAGATGTATAATCAGATTTATCTTGAAAACAATCAACTCTACGGGTATAACTGATCTAACTTGATTTGTAGAAAAATGAATTTCTTATTGAAAAGTATTTGTGCAACTTTGTCGTAAAACCAGTGCTTTACGAGAAAAATTGCAAAAAATTGATAAATTTGAGCAAAAATCGACTCAAGAATTTTTAGCAGTGAGATAGATAACTTTATTTTATGCCAAACTTTTTTAAAAATAGCTCATTTTTTGTGAGAATTTTTAACTTACCGCTAAAAATCTCAGATTTTCAAAAATCAGGAAATTATTGTTTTCACCCCGTTTTGCAAAAATCGAGTTTTCATCAGATCTCAACGTTTTATGGTCATAGGAAGCTTCCCTGACTACCCCCGCGGTGGTGTCTGTATGTCTGTATGTATGTGTGTGTGTCCGGTCAAAATCGGTTGATTCGTTCGTGAGTTATCATTGACGAAAGAAAACCGAAAAAAGCGTTTTTTCGGAATTACTCCGAATTTTTCCACTCTATCAATATAAACTTAAAGATTTTTTATAAAGCTTAAAAAACTGCGTCGAATGCCACCAATCGCGTGAAAATCGGTTCATTCATTCAAAAGTTATTGCGATATTTGAAAATTTAAAAAATAGTGTTTTATCAAACTTTTGAGCTCGAAGAGCTTAAAAGCATACAAATGCTATTTTTTTTGAGCTCGGAGAGCTTAAAATAATACACAAATTGTATTTATGTTGACAACAATATTTTGTGAATGGAGTTAGAAAAAAACAATAGTCGTCTCAAACGAAGCATCCTAATAATTTTATATACTTATCTATAATTATACATGATTATATTTGGCCATTTTTCATATATAATCATATATAACCAATTTATATAAATATTTTTTCTCGGGTAACGATAATAAAAGTTTCAATTATATTGAATACTTTTGAATTGTATTTGAGAATTGAAAAGTATTCAAGAGATACCACAATGAATCCCGTTCAATACTTTTGAATTCCACGTCAGAATTAAAAAAAATTCAAACGATAAAAAATTTAATCCTATTTAATACTTTTGAATTCCATTATAAGAATTTGAAAGTATTCAAATGATCGAAGTTTCAATTCCATTTAATATTTATCAAAATCTCCGTATGGATTGAAAAGAATTGAAATAATTTTCAATACTTTTCAATGAGTATTTTTAATCAGGGAATTATTAGACTTGAATTGTATACAATTCCAGCTCTTAAAATCCATTTAATCTCAGAAAAAATTATGAAATAAGCACTTTTCGTCATATGTAAGGGTTAACACATAAGTTAGTTATTACGTGACGTGAACCGTTACTTGGCCAAGTGAGCAGCGTTCTAAACTTTGACACGTGAGGACCCGAGTTCGAGCCCAGCATACCTCAAGATTTTTTCATCAAGTATTTACATATGTCTAGTGTTTCAAAGTTTGTAATAAGTCCACAATACTATAATTGATTTCGAAATTGCAATTTTTTTATTTTTGAGAGATTTTTTTTAAAATACTTTTTCTGAAGTACAATTTTTACATCACTTTCACATTATAATGACATCATTATCATGATATAGACATCACAGGTACGTCATATTGACGTCATAAATGTCATTAAGACATAATACTGACGTCATGACTATGTCATATTTTTACGTCAGAATCTTACGTCAGGAAGTGTGAAATAATGAGTCACATATGACTCATTCGTGACTTATATCTTACGTAAATCCTGACATAGCCCAATGTCATTTTGACGTCACATTGACGTAAACGTGTTTACTGGGTAGTGGTGTAAATTAATTTTTGTAACTTCTCCTTCCAAAGTTCAACATTCGAGCCTTGCTTAGCAAACGCAAAGTTGCGTATTGTCGAGACCCTGGCGGATTCGGGGTCACAGTAAAATGATCGTGAAACGACGGTGAATGTACCGTGAATTCACAGTGTCGACAAATGATCGTCGAATGACCGTCACTTGACTTTCGAACGGCCGTCATTTGACAGTGAACGACGAGTATCATTGTGAAAATTTTTCACTGTTACTTTATGATTTTTATTCTGTATAGTTATCATACTTCACTCTTCGAAAAACCAAATTTTTACTTGAATTCTCCGATTTTTTACCTAAGTAAAAATCGTAGATCATCGATCGCTCGTCTGTCATTGCACGGTAGTTTGTAAGTGAAACGACCGTGAAACGAGCGTATAATGTCGGTAAGTCAGGAATGTTTTACTAATCAACGAAGAAAAATTGCTGACAATATTTTATTTTTTTTTTATTTCCATAAAAATACTCAAACCATAAATTATAAATTATGATCGCTATGTATTTTTGTATTATTTGTGTATTATTATGTAATATTTTATAGTTGTCATCTGGCCTGTGCCTTGGCATTAATAAATCTAAATCTTAAATCTTAAAGTGTATAAAAAGATAGGTAAATGAGAAATTTTCAGTAAATGATCGGGACGAAAAATTTGAAAAAAATATTAAATTATTGTATTTTTGTTTATTTCAAAGTAAAATCATAAAAAATTAATCAGACTACAGGCAATCAACAGAGATCCATCATTTCAATACTTTTCAGAAGAGTTTATGGCTTACAAGTGTTGAATTTTTTTCATAGTCTTAAATGAGAAACTATAATACTTTTTGATTATGAAAAATATAATAATCAATATTGGTTTTTTTTTTTTTTTTTTAAATCGGGAGATATTTTATTCAATAATTAATTAATAAATTATAATTTAATTTCAACTTAACTATAAACTTATTTTCTGCACGTCAAATATTTTCACCGTAATTCAAAAATTTGAATCCATTATTAAAAATTTGAATTTTTTTTTTTTAGTACGACGAAAATTTTAATTTCGAAATTACGGAAAAATTATTTATTATCAAGAGAAATTATTATGAGATACTTTTTTTTAGCAATTGTTGTCGTGATGCGAGGGTTTTCGAGAAATCAAAGTAGCAAGCCTTGGTCAGGCATTAAAAGTAAGTTCTATTTATTATTTTTATTATTTTTAATTAATTAATTAATTAAAACTTTTGTTTTAGGAGGATTGTTAGCAAGACTAGAAGTAGCAAAACTTATTTTTCCTTACATGGCAAGTATTGGTGTAGCTTATTTTGTTACACTTTGTCTTTACCCAGGAATAGTATCAGAAATAATATCTTGTAAATTCGAATCATGGATGCCGGTAATTTTGATGGCAGCATTTAATGGTGCAGATTTGCTTGGAAAAATTTTAGCGTCAATATCGTATGAATGGACACGAACACAACTGGTGTATTTTTCAATCGCTCGTATACTTCTTATACCTCTCTTTCTATTATGTGCGATTCCAAGACATGCACCAATATTATCAAGCGAAATTTATCCACTTCTTTTTTCGTGGTTACTTGGACTTACTAACGGTATCGTTGGTAGTGTCCCGATGATTCAGGCCCCAAGTAAAGTTCCTGAAGAACACCGGGAATTAGCTGGAAATATTATGACCCTATCTTACACCACTGGTCTCACACTTGGATCTTTGTTAGCTTATATATTAGATGCGTTTCTTGGTCATCCTGTTACTACTAAAGAAATTTGTGTAAACTTATTGACCGCCACTGTACCAACAACATTTATAAGTAATAATATAACAACAGATATATTAGCGAGCAGTATCAAACTCACCACTCTTCCAACAATTAAAAATATTAGTAAAATATCAAACATGTTAATGACAACAACTGCTACTAAAATGGCAACACAATTAACGACTTCCTTAATGACAAATAAAACAGCAATACTTTTAGGGAATGCCCTTAACACAACATCAACCACAACAGTACCAATTATTTTTACCAATGTTACATCGACTATTAGTAATGCAATCATTCAACATTAAAATGAAATTACATTGAATTAATTTTATTTATTCATTTTTAATTTGAAATTTTAGTAAATTCGAGAAATCTTAAATTTTGAATGAATCCTCTGATTAATGACTAATAATTTATTATGAGGGATCTAAAACTGTTACAATACAAATATAAAATCATATATTTTACTATGTAAAAAGTGACTGCAATGTCGAAGATAATACAAGATTCGAAGCTTTTAGTCAGCAACGATTCAACGGTTAGAATTTTCAAGTGGATATATGATTCTTTCTTTAATTACTTCCCTACTTAAACGATAATTTAATACCTTAGTTACTCATTTAAAATATGTCATTTTTTATCATCAGCTATTATTTTGACTATACTTTTAGAATTATAAAAAAGTAACACTAGAATTTTACAATAATTATGTATTAAATTGTAAATTTTCCTTCGTCAACATATCATTATCAAGTGAATTTGAAATTGTTACACTTACAGGATCTTTTGTTCAATAGCTTAGATAGAATAAAAATTCATTTTTGGGTAGATTTCATAGAAATCAATCTTTTGCATTGGTCCTCATGTCGGAATTCACTCGGAATTTTGTCGTAATATCACTTAACTAGTTGAGTGAAGCTCAAAAATAACGTTAGTTAAAAAATTTATATATGTATGTATATATATATTTATATATTTATATATGTAATATAACGCGGGATGTTGCCGCGATTGTGTCTACAGTTCTTGACGGATCTAGATGGATTTGTTACACATATTCTTTGGATAATAACCTTGAATGAGTTCGAAGATGAGCGAAATCCATCGATAAGTTTAGAAATGGCAGCTCTTCAAAATTATCGAAATAGTGAAAATCACGTTTTTGGTGACTTCATTGATGTGTAACTTTTGGTTGAAAAGAGATGGCTAATTTTTGATGAATTCATGTAAAAGCTCATGAAATTGCCTTTAATTTGACGTATATAACATTGACATTTTGACCATTTTTAGTTATTTTTATCAAAGTTAAGAGTTCGACTGAACCATTTTCAGGCAATGTGTAGTGCAGGCGACTTATGAATGTTATTCTGTCGAGAATTCGTAACAGATCCCAATGAAATTTAGTATACAAATTCCTTTGACAATTAGCTTGCATGAGCCTTAAAATGAGCGAAATCCTTCGATTAGTTCAGAAATAGTAGCTCTTCAAAATGATCAAAATAGGAGAAATTACGTTTTCGGTGACTTCATTTATGTATAACTTTTAATAGCAAAAAGATAGCTGATTTTTAATAAATTTACGTGAAAACTCATAAAAACACTTCTAATTTGACGTATATAACGCTAACTTTTCGACCATTATTAGTTATTTTATCAAAGTTAAGAGTTCAATTGAACCATTTTCAGGCAATGTGTAATACAACCTATCCATGTCAAACGAAAGTTATTGATACAAGACGATAATTCATTCTATGAAATCTACCTTCCATTTCGGGTATGGCCGAATGGCGTCTTTTTTTTAAATAAAATAATTTTTTTTTTTATTCACACTATTATTAATTAATATTTATTGAAATTTTTAACACTATTCTTAATTTAAATTTATTAAAATTGATTTTCTATTTTTTAGTTTGATTTTCTATAAAAAGCGTGTTTTTAGTTTTTTAAACTATTATTTATTAAGCCCTGGGAATGCCTCACTTCGCACTTATGTATCGAAAATATCTATTTTAGTATTATGGTGAAAATATTTGTCATATTGTTGGGAATAATTATGATAAGGGAGGGATGCATAGTATAGTGGGATGGTATTAGTAATAAGTAATATTGTAAAGTCAGTGAAAAAAGTAATATACTCAGTAGAGCAGACGTGCCTTGTGTACGATTAAAAATAAAGCGCTTCATTATATACATTATCCTGTCCATAAACTGATTACATATAAAAAAATTTTCTATGTAAAAGTTATTTAGAATTTAATTTTCTAAAAAAAATATCTCCTATGATTTTTTCGTAGGACCAATAAGAAAGCCGAAATTTCAAACTTAACATTTTTGTAGTCAACAACAAATTTGAACCATTAATTATGAATCTTGATTTTGGAATTACGGTAAGAAATATTGATTTTTTGAAAAAATCATAAGAGACATTTTTATAGGAAATTAAATTTCCTACAATTTTTTGTATGATAAATTTTTCTATAACTCCAATATTTTCAACGTAATATTAAAAAAAATTTCAAGCATTCATTTTTTAATTGAGGCAAAATCTTAGCCTGATAGTCGTAAACGTCAAAGAAGTTTTACTTCAATCGCGCGTAAAGGTTACACACGCACACCGTTTTTTTTTTTTTTTTTAGAAATTGAAAGTTTTAAGGTTTGGGGTTATTTTCATGG